CCTACTAAGAATCAAATCCCTATGCACATCTAAAAACTTCACCACTGGAGTAAAAATAAAAGCCACCTGAGGGAAGCCGGCCTATCAAATTTAATAATAGTAGACCAAATGCTGTTTCAGGAAATGAGGGAAGCTTGATACAAACTGAAGGTGACCTTGTGGCAATGGGGCGTTCCCTAGGAGTTAACATTGTTCTTACTTTGTGTCAAATGAACCCCCCCCCTTGAGATTAGCATAAAGAGGAACTTGGCCTTATCTGTAAAAGACTTCACCATTATCCTTTGTTTTGTACTTCCTTGTGATTTTACTTTTTTTATCTTATGATTCTAAATAAATACTCAGAGAAGCACGGCTTGATGTCTTCAGTCGAGAACTGCTGACCCCGTTTTATGCTCTCTGCTCTATCTCATTCCTGGCTGTTTTGTCTCTTTATTAATAATTACAAAATTATTCTATTCTTTGGGACCCTCGGTCTGCAACAGCCACAGATTGGGAAAAAATATTTGGTAATGACATGTCTGATGAGGGACTTACATCTAGAATTTATAAAATACACGAGCACCACAACAAGATAAAGGTAAATAACCCAACTGAAAAATGGACACAGGATATGAACAGACACTTCACCAAAGAAGACATTCAGATGGCCAACAAAAACATGAAGAAATGTTCAAAATCCCTAGCTTTAAGAGAGATGCAAATCAAAACAATGATGAGATACCATCTCACCCCAGTACGAATAGCAAAATTTAACAGAACAGCAAACAACAAATGCTGGTGAGGCTGCAAAGAAACTGGAACCCTTATTCACTGTTGGTGGGAGAGTAAAATGGTGCAACCACTATGGAAGGGTTGTATGCTGCTTTCTCATCATTTGACCCAGCAATTCCTCTACTGGAAATACATCCTAAAGAAACCATAACTGCCACCCAGGCACATATATGCACACCCATGTTTATTGAGGCTTTGCTCCCAATAGCAAAGAATTAGAAACAACCTAAGTGCCCATCAACAAATGAATGGATAGAGAAGCTGTGGTATATTCACACAGTGGAATACTACGCTGCATTGAAAAACAAGTAACTCATGCAATATTATTCAAAATGGTGCCCCTGGGGGATAGTATGCTGACTGAAATATCTCGGTCACAAAAAGACAAATACTGCATAGACCCACTGTTGTAGAACAAGACTAACATCAGGGTTGGGGTAAGACTGAGAAAAACTGAGGAAGAGAACAGTTTAAAAGCGATATATTATTGGGTATTATGGTTATGACAAGAGTCCAGAATGAAGGTTGCATAGTAGAGTGTACTTGGCGGGGGGGAGGAGAACTGTACACCAATGAAGGAATTTATCTTTTACTTTTCAAAGAGAAGATCAAACTTGGGGGGAAGGATGGGCAGGGAGAAAAATGCAACAGTGAATAAATGGAAGTCCAAAATCTCTGTAAATGTTCATTAAAATTAGTAAGATTAAATTTTAAAAAAATTCTAATATATGTCTTATAAAAACACATAGGAAAAAATCATAGGTATTTAGGTCAGTAGATGGTCTAATTACAAGACATCTGAGTAATATTTAGCAAAATATTAACAATAGTTATGAATGGGTGATTTTCTACTTTCTTCTTCATACCTTCTATATGATCTTTTACTTTTACTAAGAGAAAAAGAACTATATTTACTTTCAGGAACAAAATTCTTTCCAGTCCAGATAGTTACATCTTGATTATTAAATAAGCTGGTATTTATCTTAATTGTGAAAATTAATATAGAGAAAAATTAGAATGAAAATATTTAAGAAATACAGTAACTTTTAATGGTGCCTATATTTTCAGAAACCCTACCTCAGGGTTGGACAAGTTTTTAAAAGTACTTTAAACTCTCTTTATATTCCCAATAATAACAACAGACTTTGAGTTTAATGTTATAAATCTCACTTAAAAAAACAAACCAAAAATCCTACACAAACTCAAACTGCTGGAGATGCACAGCCTTTGGTTTAATACTGTAACTCACTAAGGACACCACACCACTACACCATCAGAGTTCCTTAAGTTCCAAAGCAATCATTCTATTTTTAGACAGATTCATCAATGGAATTATTTTCCTTTACTGACTCAAACTGCTTACATAAAATTTTCACTCATGTTCTGAGGAACAAACACACTCACTACCATCAAATTAATTCTGACTAATAACAACCATTCATTAGGTTTCTGAGGCTGTCCATCTTGATGGGAGACTGCCTACATCTCTCCTGGTAGATCCAAACAACTTTTTTGGGAGCACATCATCATATAAACTACACTATCAAAAATCTTTGTTCTGAAAAACTGTTGTTGTTGTTGTTAAGTGTCTTTGCGACTACAATTCATAGCAATCCTATGAACAACAGATCTGAGCCCAGTCTTATCCCACACCATCCTCACCTCTAATATTCTCTAGCCCAATGCTGTGGGCTAAACCATAGTCACTGGGCCAAGCCATCTCACTGAGGATTTTCCCTCTCTTTCACTTACCTTCTACCTTTTCAAGTATGATATCCTTTTGTAATTGTTAGGTCCTTCCAACAACTATGCCCAAAGTATGTAAGACAATGTTTCACCATCCTTGCCTCCTAAGGAGCACCCTTACTTTCTCCAAGACATATTTGCGTTTTTGGCAGTCCATGGGGTATGCAATACATTTCTTTAACACTACAAAGCAAAGGCATCGATTCTTCTTCTGTCATCTTTATCAACCATCCAACTTTCAGATGTTAAGTGCCGTCAAGTCGGAGATGACTCATAGTGACCCTATGAATGAAAGACCTGAACACCTGTATAACTTTCATCCTTTCTCCAGGTTCATAGGGTTTCCAGAGGCAAGGTATTACAGAAGTGGATGCCATTCCTGCTTCCAACCTTGTTTTAATCAGGGAGCTCCACCAAACACTGTCCCCCATGGGTAACCATTCTCGCATTTGACTCATCAGTGTCACAGTGTTCGGCTTCACAGCAACCACAAGTTACCTCTGTACAGCAAATGGAGACTACAGTCCCCAAGCCTCATGAAGGATTTTAAGCTAGTGCCTGGAACAAGCTCTGCAGGCTCCACCCCACCCTTACTTACCCTTACTCTAAGGGTCAGGGCCGCCTACCGACCTTTGAAGGGCAACAATAGTCACACACAACGAAAAAGACCCCAGAAACTTCCCTTGCCTGACTGCCACCAAAAGGAGCTGCCATGGAGATGCCAGCCATCCCACCAGATTAGCCAGCTGCCTTCCAGAGTGCAGGGAGACTCCAGTCCTCAAGCCTCGTGAAGGACTTTAAACTACAGAAACTATTTAAAAAGACCACGGCTTGACTTTGGTACACCTTAGTCATTAAACTTACAACCATGCTACTTAATACCCTTGGGAGAGGTCCCTGACCGCACACTTTCCCAGTGCAACACATCTTTTGACGTCTTGACTGCTGGTACCAAGATGACAATGTCAATTTTTCATTTATTATGTTGCATATTGGACCACTGGTAAAGATGGAACCTGTATCTTCTTGATTTTAACATTTAACCCATATTGAAGGGTGTTGTCTTTGATCCTCTGTAGCAATCATTTCAAGTCCTCTTTGCCTTCAGCCAGTAAGGTTTCCCAAGTTCCATCAACAGTACCTTATAGTACAAAGTTCATACTCTTTTCATTATTTTGATCATTTGCCTGTAAAAGTACTTTAAAGGTCTCCAAGCGGTCTACAGTGTAGCCTACCCAGACCTAAGTAATTAGGTCCCCCACTGCAATATCACATTACTTTTTAATGACCAATTCACATTTGTTCCTACTTTTAAGTTTGCTGCCACTAACTTATTTTTCAACCAGTTTTGTTCTTAAAGACTTCCCATTCAATTAAAATTGTCCTAATAGTGTCTTTCCTGTGACACTGATGTGTCAAATGCGTTAATGGTTGGCTCCCCGTGAGGACAGAGAGTGGGGTGGAGCTCCCTGATTAAAACAAGCTTGGAAGGAGGAGTGGCATCCACTTCCTGGAGAGAGTATGAAGGACTCTCCTTCATATGAGATTCCAAGGCACTTAACAATAGTGTCTTTCAATCTAAATACTAGAGTTAATATTTTTCACTATTAGAATAACAATCTGTTGGATTTAACCCACTTTCACATCTGTTCTCAATCATTCAATCAACAAATATTTAATGAAAGCCTACAATTTGCCGTCTCCATAGCAGGGAAAACGGCATTAAATAAAACAGGAAAAAATTTGAAAAACCAACTCTTCTTAAAGCAGTTTGTATTTCTGTCATTTTCAAAATACCGATTCTACAAATTACAACTTTTAATACCCATTACCCTCAGTTTTAGGTAATCCCTGTAAGCACCTTCATCCAAATTATATATAAAATTAGTGACTAGCACAAAGATAGTACACTGTTCAACTGAAACTTGCCTATTGATAGACTGTTTAAGACTAGTTTTAAAGTCGTGGAGCCCTGTGGCCTAGTTGCAGGAAGCTGTAACGCAATCCCAGGGGTGCAAGGTTCAAATCCACCAGATGCTCTGCTGGAGAAGGAGGGACAATCTCCTCCTGTACCAGTCCGTAGACACACAAAAATAACAAAATAAAATAAAAAAAATTTTTTTTTAAAAAGTCAAGGAGCTCTGCTAACCAAATGGTTACCAGTTTGAATTATGATGCCATCTATGTTTATTAAAATGTACAGCTATAAACATGTGATAGAGGGTTACCATCAACTGGAATTGACTTAACAGGAACGTAGTCACTTTCACTTAATTACTCATCTAGTTAGCTACACTCGCATCTAGGTAGTTTCTCTCTCTCATCCACAACTATTTTAATGAAAATTCTAGCAAGTTTAAGTGTACTGAATCTCCCAAATTTCCTTTACTTTTCAGAAATGTTAGTAATATAAAAACCTCAATTCTGCTTTGTATTGTCTAAATATCATTCATTTACATAGCAATAAAAAATTACAAACTTACCCCTATCATCCAATAGGAGATTCTCTGGCTTAATATCCCTGTGAGTTATTCCAATACCATGCAGATAAACCTAAGGCAAAGCAAAAGGTACAATACAGCTAGTAAATTTGGGTAGTTTACTTCTTTTGTACTAATTCTAAATAAAAGAGAAAGCATCACTTTGACCTACCACCCCTGCCATTAATTGTTGAAAGAACCTCTGAGCATCTTGTTCAGGCATGCCTATGTCTGGCTCTAAAAGAACAAATCATGAAAGTTATTTTACTGGATACATATAAACAAGAGGAACAAAATAAGTCAATTCTTAATTTTATGCATATTTATCATTATATTTCTGGAATCTAAAGCTTATGATAGCAGTTAAAATGTTTAGAAGTCCACTTGGATATATGGTAATTAATAATCCAATTATTTTATTTGCAAAATAAGGAAAATGAACATGGAAAATTGCAGAAATAACAAATTAAATAAGAGTGCAAGCTATGCGTTTTTCCTTATAACTCTTTTATTTTTAGAACTTCTACTCAACATGGTCTCAACTTCTCCCCCAAGTTCTTCCAAATGACATACCAATATTTTTCTCATTCCTGAAACATAATTGTCTAAGTACAAGCCAGTTTCACTAAAATTTGAGTAACAATTTGAACTTATACTAGAAAAGCCATGAATGCCTGTGAAATTCCTTGAGGAAAAATTTTTACAAAATAGTCTGTGTTTTAGTTATCTTTTTACATTGATTTCCCTAATTAGCTAATTTTTTTCTATCCTTAACTTTCTTCTGAGATATACATAGCAGCTTACAGTAGTTTTAAACTACTAATAAAATAGCTTCAAATAATAAATTTAAATTCCAATTGATACTACAGGGCACTGAGAAGTATTTAACATACTTTCTTCTTAGTGCCCTGTATTATCAATCCTCTGAACATGGAATACTGAAGTACCAAACAGATAATTTCTATTACAAAAATTACATAAAATTCTCAAGTATTTCACTTAAGCAAATAGATAAAGTAACAACACTTTTAACTTTTGGGCCTGTAAATGTATGCAGTGAATTAACATTGCTAGAATGTCTACAAATAAGAAATGATAAAGACAAATAATGTATTGCACTTGAAATTTCATCATAAAGCTATAGCTGATCATTTTTAAACTTGCTCATTTCCACAATCAACACTCCTTGCACAGCAGTCAGGAAATCAAAAGATGAATTGCATTGGGAAAATCTGCTGTCAGGAATCCCTCCAGAGTGCTAAAGAACAAGGATGTTAGTTAGAGTGGAGACTAAGTTGCTCTTGATCTAGGCCATGGTCTTCACAATTACTTGCTAGGCATGAGTGCCAGACAACGACCAAGGATGCCAGAATAATTGATGTCTTTGAGCTGTGGTTCTAGAGAATATTGAATATACAATGGACTGCCAATAGAACTAACAGAACTGTCTTTAAGAGGATGAACAAAGCTGCTCCTTGGAGGCAAGGATTTTGAGACTTCATCTGACATTCTTGGGCCTTTAGCCAGAAGGGGCCAGCCTTCAGAGAATGATATCATATTGGAAAGGGTTGAGGGACAGAGCAAAATAAGAAGACCCCAGATGAGATGGATTAACACTACAACTGGGGTAATGAGAGAAGGTGTGTCTGAAACAAAACTGGCTCAGTATTGAGCAGCGTTCAGAGCTACTGTGCATAAGGTTGCTATAAGTCATAAATGACTTGATGACACATAACAGTAAGAGTAATCTCAATATTCTTTGTATGACTATATACACGGTCTTGTGTATTAATTCAAATTGTAAAAAGAAATAAAATTTACTCCAATTTCACTGCTGTGTAACCAAATCTGGGTTAGCAAGACAACTTCTTATGGAGTAGGACAATACACCATTCTGGATAAGCAATTCTGGAAAGTCAATGACCTGATATTAGATTCAAGATTAAAAATAAATTTAGAAACTTGCTGAACAGCATAAATTTCTTAAACCTTTAGGATATTTGACTTGGAACTTTCCCCTCCATTCCCTGTTCTTACCTATTCTATCAAAAAGTTCTCCCCCACTACAGTACTCTAGAAATAGATACTGGATATTGCCTTCTCTCCGGTGGCCATAGAATTTCACTATATTCTCATGATTTAACATTTTATTAATACAAATCTCTTTCTTAATATTTTCTGGACAATCTATAGCACGCTTCATGTCCACAATCTTCACTGCAACTGCTTCTTCAGTTCTTCTATTCATTGCAAGTTGAACTCTAAAAAGGAAAAGTAGAGCATTCTAGATGTCTGAATTCTATTTCTTTTAAAACTTCAGAACTTAAACATGACTCAGCCCGAAACTTTTTTCCTTTATTATTTTCTCTAACAAAAAGGAAGCATGGAAATTATTTCTTCTATGTTCTCAACAGATATTATTCCTTTCTGAAATGAAAACTATGATAACTAATAATCTATAAACTTTGATATATGACGATAGTTATATTCAGGACTTTTGTTCATAGGGTCACTACGAGTCATGCTTAACTCAATGGTACTCAACAACAACAATCCAAAGAAGTCATTACACTATATACACAAATCGCTTAATAAATGTTTGTCTAATAAATTTCATTATCTAGCACTTAGTTTTAGTTATCACTAAAATTATGTTATCGTTTATTAAGTTCATGGTTTATAACTATAACTACTGGTCTAAACACCTACGAGTTTAATAATTTCATTAAAATTTTATAGATAAGGAAAGTGAGGCAGAAAAAATACATTAAGAAACTAACCTGATTTTCCACCCACTTTAGATTTGCAGCCAGAGTTCAGGAGAAAAAAAAGATTCCAAATTTATCTTTTCTCCTTTTTTGTTGTAAGTTTAATATAGCAATAGTTTGAAGCTTATGAACCCTAACAATTCCAATAAAAAAGATCTAATAAAAATACACACACAATGCAACAATGAATGAATGAAAACCCAAAATCTCTGTAAATGTTCATTAAAACTAATAAAATAATAATTTAAAAAGTAGCAATTTCCCAGGCTTAAAAAAAAAATACACACACAAAAAAACCCAAAACCAGAAACTAGCCTAAGACTGCAAAACAAGAACCTTGACTAGACACTGAAAGGTAACCCAGACTGAAAAACCTACATAACTTTTGATTACAAATATAAAATATTCTAGAAAAGTAAAAATGTCCTGACAAGCTCAATGAGGAGGGGGTCATGAATAAGTGGAACACAAAAAAATTTTAGTGCAGTGAAATTATTCGTATACTACGATAGTGGACATGTGCCATAAAGCATTTGTCAAAATCCATTGATTGTACAACAAAATGAGTTAAGTCCAATGCGAACAAAGGATTTTGGTTAATAATAATGTATCAACACTGTTTATCCATTTTAACAACTTTCCACAGTAATGCATGCTAATAGGAGAAACAGACTGTGCAGAGCTAAGGGAAAAGTGAAAAACTTTCCACACAACTTTTCTGTAAATCTAAAACTTGTCTAAAAAGTCTACTGGGGGTGTAGGGGTGGGGAACAAGACAATAAGCATAGCATACATCAAAAATTTGAAACTAAGGAGTCCTTCTCTAAAGTCTATTTATTTGCTCACATTAAGTGAGCACTATCCTCAAAGACAGGGAAGAAGTATGTGGGAAATGAAAACAACGGCATCAAGGGTCAAACGTGAAAGGCAGAAAGAAAAAGAAGTATTAATCCTACAAACACCAGGCAGCCTGTGTACTCTACCAGGGAAGGCTAAGAACCCGAGCCCCAAGAGCGCGCGGCACTCACTCTCCGTAGGCGCCCTCGCCCAGCGTCTGCACCAGGTCCCAGTCCTCCACGAAGGGCACCGCCATCTCAGGAGCACCTTCTGCGTCACTGATCCTCACAGGCACCCGCACTTTGACCAAGGATCTGTATTAAAAGCAACTTTTCTCTACTTAGGCATGCCACGGTATAAATCTGTTATCATCCTCAGCAACCTGAAAGAATTCCGCGATTTGTTTACGCCCCAGGAGAAACGGAATAGTTGTGTGTAAAAGCTGAGGGATGAAGGAGAGTGGAAAAATGCTTTATGTGGATAAGAAAGTAGAAGGTGTGAGCAAGCGCGGACTACTTCAGGCCCCGCACCTTCCAAACTCACCACCAAGTTAGGTGGGTTCAGGAACCCGGGGCGGGGCCAAACCACCCCAGAAGCGGAAGGAAGGTCTAGAGTCCAGTTGCAAGGCCCCTGGCCTAAGGCGCTCCCAAACCAGCAGGAAGCCTCCAAGTATCACACCCCACCGCGCTGGACGCGATCGCCTCACGAGAGTCCTCTCCTATCCCCTACGCACTTCGCCGATAATTTTCTCTCCCCGTGCCCTTCCTAAGGAATGAAGACCCCGAGAACATCTCCAGACTCCTTTCTCACCTTACTGGCCGCCCCTCTCCACGATTTCCGTGCCGCCCCCACACCAGTAATCCAAACACTGTAGTTTTCCCGCCAAAACTTGTTGACGTCACTCTGTCGCAAACGCGAATCCCGTGCCGTAAAGCAGACAGCTTCACGTGTTCCTCTCCTATGTCTAGTTACTGTTGAAAACACAGAAAAGGAGAGTTTTGGCAACTGCTGAGTTTTCTGTTGAACCTAATGTCTGCGATGACTCTGACTGAAGAAGTTTAAGAACTGCTGACTGCATCCACTGAAAATGGATCTCTGGGAACAAATGAGAAATACACATCCGGTGTGGTGCTTCCAGGAGAAGCCAGAAAAACTCGTCTGTAAAGGGTTCCTGTGCTGGGAAGACACCTTTGTGAACAACCAGCCATATCAGCCAGAATTATGAGGTTCTTAGTCTGCGCAGCAAAGCGCTTTATCATTAAGACAATACTAGGGCTGGGAAGCTAGAAACAACTTTTGAGAATTTGTATGGTAAAAAATGAAAGTTTCTTGCAACGAATGAGCGGCATAAGAAATGTAGCTTGAGGAAATGCGAGGATAAATAATTTAGCCTTTTCTTACCTTTAAAATAGACTAGTCTTCAAATTTTTTTCTGAAAAGTATCTGCTTAGTTTAGTTCCGCTTTTTTTTAAACAAATGACATTTTAATTGTTATTTTAACAAACATTTACAGAGAAGTTAGATTCATGTTCATTCATTGTTGCACATTTTACCCCCTCGTTTTTCCTTCTTTGCAATGATACTATCTCTCTTATTCGGGGCTTTTGTACGTGTAATACCTAATGATGTATTTATTTTAGGGAGTTCTTTGTTTCATCTCTTTGAATACAATGGTCATTATCTATCCACTAGTATCCTGTTCTCCTAACCCCGATGTCAGACCTGCATTATAAGAGTGGTACTATGCAGTATTGTTACAATTCTTGAAAGTCAAAGTCCCTTTTCCCCCTTTAAATTCGTAGCACTTTAAAATGTCTATTTTTTCCTCCATTTTAGGTAAGCCCTGAAATAGATTAAAATGCAAATGTTGTTGTTGTTGTTGTTGTTATATGCCGTCGAGTCGCCTGCAACTCATAGCGATCCTATGTACAACAGCCCTAAACTCTGCTCTGTCCTGTGCCAATCGCACTGTCTCTGACACTCCCATCCCAAT